AGTGGGACCAATATATTTGAATAAGTTGTTTCTATATATTATCTTTTTTGTATAGATTTTGATGGATATGAGCATTTCTTCTTCTTATTTTATCTATACTACTTATACGTTTCAATAATCTTTTAACAATTTATTTTTGTGGTTAAACAGGATGTTTCCCAACTTTGGCCACATTACAGTTTGGATTAATTTGTATCAAGCCCTTTGCAAATGGGTAACTCTATATTAATTTTTGATTTATTTTTTTACTTTTTGCAAAATAATCCTTGGTGACTTTTTAACTATTTTACAAAGATTGTTGATGGAGTGCTACAATACTAGCCTTGCAATGACTAAGACAATCCTCCAAGTTTTCCTATGAACAATTGTACCTCTCTTACTAGAAGTAGTGGAAATCTCACTTAAATTAAAATAGAAGGGAAAGCTTCTAGGAAGGGGGACATTTGGGCATGTGTATCTTTGATATAATAGGTAGCAGTAGTTCCTCTTGTTAAGTCTATATTCCCTAAGTGTCTTAGGCTATGTTTGGTTTGAGAGAAAAAGGTAAGGAAATGAATGGAAAGATAGGGAAACCCATACAAGGTTTGTAAAGGTTTCCCTACCTTTCCTTTCCTTTTCCTACTTTTTCCTTCAATCCAAACACCACCTTAATTATTTTTTATTCTTTCTTGAGGAGTTTTGGTCCTAGAAATTTCATGGCCAAGTAATTGCTAATTAGGTATTAATCTTGGCAATGAATATAAATTGAGTAGCACTTGTAGTTCATTAATTCATAAGAAATTATTTGAGTTACTAATTACAACTTTGTTATTTATTGTGAGGTATTTCTCATGCATTCTTGATAAGCTACCAATGAAAACCATGTGGCATTTTCCCTTGTCATTTGTGAGAAATAACTCTTTATTTCTCCATCTCACCAAGAAATAGAATATTATTTTGTTCTAAAAAGATGATCAATGTAGAATGGATTGTTTATTGTTTAGATGCATCTTTTTTAAATTAAGTGGTTTGTTCCCTCTATATCAACATAACAATTAGATATGTCTTTTTACTTATTATTAGTTAATAAAAATAAATAAATAATAATATTATTTAAATAATAAATACTTATTTATTTTAATAAATTATAATATTTATTTATTAATATAATAATATTTTTCTTTAATATTGTTTTTTTTATTTATAATATTATCATATCTATTTTTAAGGGTAATAATATTATAATATTATAATATTTATTTAATATTGTTTGAAACTATGAAGTTTCAAACATTAAAGAACTGCTCCAACTCAAATGATCTTAACTTTTCAAACATCAAACCTCAAATTTATCAAACACTACCTAATTTGTCTTTAAAAGTTAATATTAGTGGCACTTTTATTTGCCTTTATAAATAGCCATTTGCATCATTTTTAGAGGCAATAATATGTGACTCAATGTTTCCCTTTTAGAGGCTCTTACCAAGTGTACCTGTAAATGTTAGTCAAATGTTATTGAAATCTACTAAGGCTAGAGTTTTTAAAGGCCATCACTCCGTTCCTCCTAATCTTTTTAGAGATAGTTTTAATTGAATTGATCATTAAGATAAGAAAATCATTTCCTTACTTCTTACCATTGCATAGTTTGAAGGTAGAATGAGTTCGTTTACTTTGAATTTATTGTGGATTCATTTGGATGTTTAAAATTGTCATAGTTGGTCTAAGTAATGATAACTAAGAAATTGGCCTCTAACGTGACAAGACTTTGCTATATCCTTATCTAACATGGACAAAGAGTAAATTTTAAAATCTTGCATTGTTTATAAAATGTGGGTTTTTTATTCCAACTTGACAAGACTTTGCTATATCCTAATCTAGCATGGACACAGAGCAAATTTTAAGATCTTGCATTATTTATAAAATGTGGGTTTTTATTGCTTTATTGATATGAGTAGATTTGTTACAAGGAATTGAACCAAGGTTGTGTTACATAAAAAAAATTAAGACAATTCATTAGGAATTGAACCATGGTTGGATCAATATCCTATGTAATGTAGAAACTAAATGCCAAACCCAAAAGTTACATATAATATCATAAGTTTAGTGGCAATCGAACAAAGACTTATACATTTATCAAAGAAATATCAGGACTTCATATAAAATGTTATGTTACGAAAAGGAGATTTAATGGCAATTAAACCTAAGACACATAATTAGCCATTTCTTTTAATTGATTTAATTACTGAAATTTATGTCATTTAATGCATCCTTTGCTTTGGAAGAATCAATGATTTCTATATACTCCAAGAAAACCTAAATTAAAATCATAAAAATTGAATTTTTAGTAAAAAAGCAAACCGTAATAGTTTTGACAACCTTAAAATTGAAAAATAAACATGTTAATTCTTGTATACAATAGAAATAAATAAACTTAAAATATTCAAAATTAATTAAAAAACTTGTAAAAAAATCAATTTAATATGATGAACCAAAAGTAACAATTTGGGCAATTAATATACCTTGAGTAGTTGACTATATTTAGAAAAGTTATGAGGTTAATTAACTTGTGGGAATGTATCTTGTGATAATGGAGTTGTTACTTTATAATGATCCAAACCATAACTGGCCATTAAATCCTTATGCAAACCATATCAAAATATGGTTTATAATGATCCAAACCATATCAAAATATGCTAACTTTGCTTGCTACCATTTTAACTACAATGGAACATAAATTTTGGTAGCGACTTGCCACTACAAATTCAGGGTTAACTTTTATAGTAGATTTTTGTGATTTCCTTACCACTCCAGTTTTTGCAAATCTTGTCCATCTTTTTAAAATATAATATTTTGGAATCACTCTGACTTTTCTAAAATTGGATGTTTTTTTAATGCATGGAAACACAAAATCCCAACAAATTTTTTGCAATTATAATCCAAAGTTTGATTGGATGAATCAAATGTAACTAAGTACCCATGATTCCCGCTTTCAATTGTAACTTTGTATGTGAAAATTATAACAATGTCTCTACAATAATACAATTGCAAGCCAATAGCTTAGCATTTTCATCTCGAAACATTTTAAAAGTAACATGTGCGTTAATAAATGCCACTTTAGTTAACATCATCACATTTGCCATTAGTTTTGGATAATTTTGGCTTACTTTAAAATTATCCATTGATTTTGCATGGAAACGATCTTCTACGACTCTTTCAAAATGATTCAAGAATCACTTTAAATCCAAATGGTTATTCATGTTTTCACTTCACTAAGTGTTCTTCATAGTTGCACAAACTGTATTCCTCCCATAATCTATAGCTCATTTTTCTTTAATAATAAATTGCCTTCGTAATAAGTATTGTCTTTTAAGTAATGTGCTTCAAGCATATCATTCCATGCCTATAAAAACTCCTTATCATCCTCAATCAAATATTCATCTACTAAAGTTTAGTACCAAAAGTTGACCAATGCCGAAAAGCAAAACTAATTTTCTTCAATGCATTCTAAAACATGTATTATAGAAATTTGAAGACATTGCCCTAATAAATGTATAAAACAACAATTCAAATGATTCAACGATTTCATCATATAGTAGAGCACCCCAAAAATTATAAATTTTTCATGGTGGTTCACACCACAATCCAAGTGGTCAACCTTCATGATTTGTTCTATATATATATATATATATATATATATTATCTTCTATTTGACAGTAAGTTGTATGGATAGAATGATGGATTCTCTTTTTATTTCTTTTAGAAATAATGAAGCATTGTGGTAGTATCTCTAAAATACAATGCCCTTTCTGATTTTGTACACAAGTAGTTCTTATAATTAGATGGGAGGAAACTAAGATTTGCCAAATCACCTACTTGTCTACCCATGAAGTCAAATGTAGCTTTAGAAGCAATTCTTGACTCATATGCCAAGTTTATTATAACACCTTGAGCCTTTGTGAATTTTCATTGAGACCTCAAAAATATACTTTTTTTTGTAGGATAGAAACATTATGATTATCTTTTTCTTTCCCAAATAGGCAACAAAGTATTTACCATTTGCCTTTAGGATAAGGGTCATGAAAGCAAGGAAAACATACCTTGTTTCTTTCCTTCATTTCTTTACTCCCTTATCTCATTTATCTACCTTTCTTGCCACAAAAATACCAACTTGTTACTAGCCCCTACTTTTTTTAGTTTTCCAATCTTTTTTTATCTTTATGATCGTTTCTAATAGTGGACCCCTTTCTTTTAGCATAACTATTATAAAAATAATATGCACTTTCTTCACTTTTAAATTCCATATTGATCTCTCGTGACTTAAGATGAGGATTTGGCTCATCCAAAGTTCCAAGTTTTCAATCTCATTATCTTCACTTTTAAACTTATTACACTACAAGAAAAATGGGCTTTCAGACCGCCGCCCTTGATCTAAGGCAGCGGCCAGGCGTCCGCCCCTAAGCCACTGCCACATTAGATCAAGACCGCCAGCTCAGATGAAAAAGGTCGTCGCCTTTGATGGCCGGTCTGAGGCAGTTCAAAATGCACTAAAGCGGCGGTTAATCAAAACTGTCAACTTAGCATCAATAAAGCTGGCAGTTCGGACCACCGCCTTAGGTTTTGTCAAACATAAATTGCTTCTTTTGGTGGCGGTCTAAACCGCCGGCTTAGATCTCATGTGACCGCCACCTTAGGTTTTGTCAAATGCCGCTTGGGTTTTTAAGTGGCAGTCTAAACCGCCGGCTGAGATCTCATATGACCGCCGCCTTAGGTCTTATTTATGGCTAAACCGGCAGTCAACTGCCGGCTTTGATATTTCTTTTTTTTATTATTTTTATACTAGGTTAATTGCATCATTTTTTTTGTACCTACACTTTAATTCCAACATTCATCACTTTAATACATGTTTAATACAAATCTCATGACAATTGATATATTATAAACAACTTAAATAAAAAATGAAATTTAAAGCAAAATCTATTAATTTACAAAATTAATTGTTATAATATCCAGAACAAATTGTTCAAATACAATATCCAATTGACATATAAAAAAATACAAGGACTTCAGAAACATTCAATTTGTCAAATAATGTAGCACATCTTCCAATGCAAATCCACTTAAACCTGCAAGTCATAACATATAAATTGTTAGAAAATGTAAAGTAAATGAGATATTGATAAAAACATGTATAAAAATAAATATTTACCTATGCAAAATATAATGCAATCCTTGATGGCCTCTTGGATTAAAAGAACTATAATATTAACATGCCAAAATGCCCCATGCAATCCTTCCAAATTTAGTGATGCAATGCAAGAATTGAATATGGCAAGAAAAAACAACAAGAATGTTGTCCAGATATAAACCCTGCAAAAAGAAATTATCTTAGTAAGATCAATATGGTATATAAAATTCTTAAGAACTCAAGTATTGAATTATGAAGAAGTTGCTTCCTATTACCATCCAATCCTAGCTAAGTACAAGTCCTTTTCTAGATCTACCCTTCCAGTAATAAGATCTATTAGAATTTAGAGAATAAACATAGAATGCTGGTTCCTCTGCTAAAAAGAAGGGATAGGTGGCACATTATGGGGGCTCAAACCTATCTATGGGTCGGTCCTCTGTCCTTAGAATATATACAAGGCATCACGAGGTAATTTTCATTACCTTTCCCCCTAATTTTCATTAGCTTTTCTATTTGATTTTTCATTAGCTTTTCTAGCCCTATTATTAATGATAACTCCAATATATACAATATAAAATATTTTAAATGCACTAGGAAATTTGTCAAGATATACTCCAATAATATTTCATATCAGTACCCATGGAAATGGAAATACATTGTTGAAATATATAGACATTTTCAACCATGACCAAGATGAGAATGTTGAGATGGAAGAGTGAAAAGATTAGAAAGGAAAGAATTAAGTGCATTGAAGAGAACCTAGGAGTAGTTCCAATTAGTGACAAGATGAGTAAAAGTTGACCAAGATGGTTTGATCTGGTGCATATATGACTAATAATTGCACCAATAGGAGTAATTTGATACAAGTAGAAGAAGGTTCTAAAAGAGCATGGAGAATACCAAGAAAAGCATGGGTTTAAGTGCTGAAAATAATATAAGGGCGTATGATTTGACATGAAATTTGGCTCCTGATACAGAACAATGACAGAAGATGATTCATGTAACCAATCCTAGAAAGTTGGGGATAAATGCTAAGCTCAGCTTTGAGGTGAGTTGTACTAAGCAAAAAATATACCCAATTCTTTCTGAAAATTGAACTACAGCATGATTATCATGCCTTAACCAGGAATGCATGTGCAAGCAAGAAAGCATGACACATAAAGATTTGAAAGTAGTACACATACTTGAATGAACAAGTCTTCTGGTATTTGCTTTTAGCTTGTCAATAGCTTCTTGTAAGATAATTTTATAATAGTCATCATTAGAGAAATCCAAATTTAGAATTTAGAGAATAAACATGGAATGCTGAGCAAGCCTACCTCCGTTCTGGATACGAGAAGGAGCCCAAGCCCTCTTACATCCGATTAATGCCACCAAATCCTTGACATGCAAGCAGCTCCGATTTGTGGTTGCTATAGTAAATCCAATCCTCATAATCCCCACTGATCCTCTTGTCACAGTAAAGTGATCTCCCAATGTTGTTTGCATATGCCAAGGTACCATAATTGAATGACTTCCTAAAACTAGAATCTCCCTTCCCATCCTCCAATTCTCCATCATCAAAATCATCAAGAGAGTAATGGGTATATACAATCAGCATCGTCACTCCTTGCAGAGCACCTGCCCTCACTCCCCTCTTCCTCATGGCATGCCTTCTTAGATCTTTGAGTTGATACATACTTTGTGAATATTTTTACTTTTCTTAGACCTGCTTTGAGAGCAAAAAAATCATTCCTCTCTGTTGAGATAGATTCTCCAGACCGAGGTGACAGTGGAACCGAAACTATCAATCTTGGTACTGTCTCGCATGCTCTTGGGTGGTTCTCAATTCCAATAAGCTGAGAGATAACTGTGATAAAAACAAATCTATAAATATAAAGAAAAATGGAAAGTCTAGAAAAATGAGATATAACTAGCGATTAGAAAGAAATAAATATAATCAAAATCACATACACAAAGAGAGGGCTGAGGATTAACATTGCCATTAAGCAGAATGAGAGGGACATTTATTTCAAGCTCTTTCTCTTCAGCTGCATAAGTAAATTCTGCAATGTTTAATAATGCTATACCAACAACTCAAACCTTATTCTTTGGTCCTGGTTTCAAAACCTGAACAAAGAACCAATCAGTTACATTAAATATGAAAAAATAAAATAAAATATTTACCATATCGAAATCAAACAAGCAGAAGTTAACACAGTACCAGAAGAACAAAGTTGCATACAGAAATCTTTTCTTTCATAATCAATGTAAAACATACCAACTGCTAGTAATGCTTCTAGTTTTCATGGTTAAAATTAAAAAAAAAAAAAAAAAAGGAAAAAAGCAATTCAAAGTCTTGGGCACCAATAAAAGCAAGAAGGTTAAGTAAACAAAATGAAAAACCTCAAAAAAAAGAAACTGAACGTTTAAATTGAACCCCTTCCATCTCAAAACAAAACATGCTTAGTGCTTAGATGGAAGTTTCCAGCCCCATGAAAAGACGGATCAAATGGTGTAGTCATCAAAAAGGAAATAAAACTTTTGACGACATTAAACATCAACTTCTACAAAAGTTATCAATTATAAAAAAAAAAAAAAAACTTCTACAAAAGTTATCTTTAAGCACGTTATGGGTTCAAAAATGTACATATTTAATGATCATAAACAAGGGGAAAATTTTTCAAAATCCCCAAAACCAAGATAATCTAATTAAATCCAAATGAAGCCACGCAAAATGAATTTTCTTTTCTTCATTCTTTCTTTTCTGTTTAGCAATATTCTATCTTTTACTTCTTTCCCTTTTTTATTGGTAAATGAATATAAAGCAGTTACAAGCTCCCCTTTTCGACAATTAACACAATGCTTAATCTTTGATAGCAATGAATACTACATGAGATTTAAGTACACCGAATCAGAGAATTTTCAAGTAATATGCTTCACCAGTCTGGGTAGCCAAGTTGGTAAGATTCCAGGCAGGGGACATTTGGACAACCGAATAGAAGATATTGGCAATATTCCAACCATCCCAAATACCAAACGTAGAAAAAAAAAATATTTCATTAATCCATTTTCTACCAATCATGAAACATATTCACCACAAATCCCAACAATGGTGACCTCAAATACCTAGCAAAAAAGGAAGGTTCTTATATCCAAAAAGTACAGTAAAGCCGTGATACTCAACCAAAACCATAGAAACTGCAACACATCGAACAAAAGCCTAGAATAGCATCAGAAGGATAGAACTAAATCTAGAAATTGGATATAAATGTCACTAATGCAATATGAAATTCCAGTTACTAAAAACACACAACCAGGAATATGGGTGCCCTAAACATAATCAGAAGTTCCAATTAAAATCTATATAAAACACTAACGACGTCCCACTCCAATTAGGTAAAACAAAACTAATGAATTTCTAAGATTAAGAAAAAAGAAAAGAGACAAATCCTAGATAAAAGGTCAGAAGATTAATTTATCTTAAAAATATAAACTTCCATTTCAATGGAAAAATGGCTTTCAAAAAATGCAATGGAAAAATCACTAAATTCATTAATTTGAGAGAAAGAAGCTAAAAAAAAAAAGAAAAAAATAACTCTCTCACATGAAATAACCATACAAAATATTGTCAAAATTGGTATGTTTCTCACAATAGAAGGTATACTTGATCCAAAAAACACTGGAGAAGATGTGAATGGCCATTAAAACCTAATCTTCTCTAACGAAAATCCAAAGAAGATGGAGAGATCGAAAAAACTGGAAAAAAGAACAACTTGATCAAAGGCAAAATAAGATTGAACAACAAACGTTAATCTTGTTTCATTGAAACCCCACAAAAAATGGAAAAGGGATTAAAAGAAAAAAAAAAGAATAAAGAAGGGGAAAAACAAAGACTGATAGAACAGTAGAAGAGAGAAACTCAACCAGTTGGTGCTGTTCGATGGAAAGCTAAGAGAAACTCAATTGGTTATGGACAGTAGGAGAGAGAGAGGGGGGGGGAGAGATTACCTATTGACTCCGATGTCGTTGTTGGGTGCCATCCGGTGGTGAAAGGTCTGAAAGACAAAGAGAGTGCGCGCAAGAGAGAGAGGGCAGGGAGAGAACTCACTGTTCGAGCCAATATTGAAACCTTATTCAGGAAAGTTTCAGAGATTGAGACTGAGAGAGAGAGAGAGAGAGCAAAAGAGACAAAGGGAATAAAGAGAGAAAGAAACGAGATTACCTAACACCGGCGTCGTCATTGGGTGTCGACCGGTTGCCACTGTGGTAAGAGGTCGACTATTATCAGTATCAGCAACAGAGTATAAAGACAATGGAAACGAGATAGAGGACGTGAGTTGTGGAAATAAAAAGAAGATGAAACACGGGAATGCAAAGTTTTGGCATTTTAGGTTTTAGACCGGCTCAAATCCGGTTCAAACAAATAAAACGTCGTGCCAGGTGCTAAAGACCGTCGCTTAGGTTTTAATTTAGTTTAGCAAGCAGCGGTCTTTTTTAGAATGCCACCTTAGCTCTCTCTAAGGCGGCGGTCATAAAGAGCGTCGGCTCTAAACCGCCATCTCAAATAAACCACTTTCTCCACCATGATATTTGTTTCTTTTGACCTTTAATAAAAATAATAAATTTACAAGTTACTTAAATATAACAAATAAATATGATCAATCTAAACCTAAATATATGATTTGATATGATGAATCTAAGTATATTTACATTTAGATTAATTAACAATGAGATATATCAATAATACTAGGAGAAAGTGATTTGATAAAATGACTTAATGAATATGAAAGAGAACATGTGAAACCCAATTCTCATAAATTATAAATTGAAAATATTTGAATGAAATGAATAATATATTGCAAATAAGATACATGACAAGAACTTAATACCAAAATGGACTAATGGCCTTACACTTTCAAAATCCGTTACTAATGTTTGGCCTATAGTGATGATTACATTCGCCACTATAAAAGCTTGCTATAGTAACAAACAATATATGCCTGTCTCTATAGATATTTATCTATAGTGATGGTATTAGATCTAAAATAGACAAGTGATTTGGAGTCTCACCATGTATTTATGTGAATTTCCCAGGATTCAGAATCCCTGCTCCTTAGTGTCTTCATGTAAGCATGTCCATAGCTACAAACCTTCCTAGAATCTTGCCATTATTACATGGTGTATGTAATCTCTCATGGGTGCGCTTAAGTGTTTGGGGATGGCATCGTAAGTGGTGCAATGTCGGGGTGTCGCAATGCTGCGATGTTACAATTATATCAAGTATCGTCTAAGTAAACCTTTGCAATGTTGGGTTAGTAAGGTGATTAGGGCCGCATAGTCTTTATTGTGGATATAATATTGAGTATACATTGCAAATACATTCTTGATTTTTTTTATTATTATTGTGATATTCTTCCTTCGCAAATATATGTTTAAGGTGGCATCACTATTATTAGAATGGGTGGTGCGATGTTGCAAGTGTCATTGCAAGCTTTTATATATATTTTGGAAAGAATGTAGATTTGCGATTATTATTGACTCACCACCAAACAGGAGAATAACTCTCTTTTTGGGTTGGTTTGAAATTTATATTTTATTTTCATCATTAATAAAATCAATTATTATTTGTCACAATTATTTTCATTAATATGGTTAATTAATATAAAATATTAGTTATCCCTAAATGTTTTCCACATAATTTGTATGTTTTCTTATGTGTTTATCTTATTTTAATTTTTTATTTAATTATGACACATTTGACCTAAAAGATCAAATTGATGATCTACCACCAAATAGGAAAACTATTTCACTTTGGGTTAGCTTTAAAGTTTGTATTTTATTTCCATCATTAAAAACATTTTTGTTTATTGTGTTTTAATTTTTATTATGATTAATATAAAATATTAGAGATGTGTCCAAATGTTGTCTACAAAGTTTTTATATTTTTCATATTTTTGCCTTTTTTAATTTTTATTTAATTATAAGATCATAGATCAAGGTTTGACACATATGACTTGAAAGGTTAAACTATTGACCCACCACCCGAGAAACTATTTCATTTTTGAGTTAGTTTTAAATTTAATATTTTATATCCAACATCAATAAAAACAACAATCATTTATCACATTTATTTTTTATTAATGTAATTATTTTAAATAGAACTTAAATTAATAAAAAATAGTTTAAGATTAATAAGTTTCTCATAGCATAATAATTTTATATGGTTACTATTTTATATTAATTTTATTTATAAAACTAATTCTATTATAAATTAATTATATAAATAATATTAGTGATTTAATTGGATTTTCAATAATAAAAAATACTATCAATTATTATTATTATTATTATTATTATTATTATTATTATTAACAAATTTGAATTATTTTTTGCAAGTTTTGTAATTTTAAATATGACTTAAATGGATGAAAATTATAACTTCGAAAGTTTTATTAGTAATAACAATTAATAATTATGCTAGATAATTAAGTTAGTTAGGATTGCTTAACCACATAAATAAGTTACCCAACTAAATATGTAACTTAAAGCATGGGCCTGTTAAAAAAATTGCACATACAATCGTTGTATATGGATTAATTGGCATGAAACTAATGGATCCATAGCTAGTACAAATTTAAACTCAAAAAGAACCAATATCTCGGGGTGCAACTTAATCAATGAGCCCTGCCCGAATCTAGACCAACCCAACCCACAAATTTACATGGGTTGGGCTTGGATTTCCAGTCCTTAGGTTGGTTGTGTAATCCTTGGGCAACTTGACCCTAACCCAACCTTATCCTAACTCGAGCTCAAGTGAACTATATACGTACATACATACACATATAGATACATTATTTACATGCATACATACATACATACATACATACATACATACATACATACATACATACATACATACATACACATACGTGCATACATATATATTTAGGTTAAATTTTAGTGTGTGCTTATTGACTATTGACTAACCCAAGCCAAGTGGCCTAGGCCCAAGCCTAATCCGAATGCATCAAATTTTAGGGTGGTCTAGGCTCATCTTGGACAGATCCGACTTCACCTCGAGCTCGGGCCTTAAGTCCAATTCTAAGGGTTGGGCCTAGGTTGAGCTTAATTATTGTTATTTTAATTACTGTGAAATTATGTTACCTAATTAAGTAAATAAATGTGAAAATTATTTTAATTACTTTGATATTTTACTTAAATAGTTCAGTAATTTACTTAACAAAATTATGGTAAATTCACTAATTTAATAGTATTTTACTCTTAAATCATTGTTACTTTAATTACTAATATTTTACTTAAGTAATTCATTAAATATGGTAACTTACTATTGAATTACTTTATTCAAACAATTTAAGTAATTGTCAATAATAATTAAAATATAATTACTGTTATTTTAATTACTAAAAAATAATTTTATAGTAATTAAAGTAACAATAATTATAATTTAAATAATTCATTAAATATGATATTAGGTCTAAGGCTTGAGTCTAAGCCTAATTTGTTCAATCTAGGCCTAATCACACTAAAATTTGATGCACTTGGGTTGGGGTTGGGCTAGGGGTCGGCCCATACTATAATTTGTTATAAATGTATGTGCTTATGTGTGCATGTACATATGTATATATGCAAATATGTCTATATTTGTATATAGTTTGGTTGGTTCAAGATACCTAAAGGCAAGGTTCAAGCCCAACCCAAAAAATAGAAAAGGCCAAACTTTTGGGCCCACCCAACCCAAGGACCGAAAATCCAAGCCAAGCTTGTCTTAAACCAATTTAAGTCAATCTAGGCTCGAGTTGGGTTTGCCTATGGATCATTCACCACTACTTAGGTGGAAAATAGTTTTCCTTTTGAGTTAGCTTAACTTTCTATTCTATTTCTATCATTAAATACATGTTTTTTATTCAAATTGTTTTTTTTTTGAGAAATATTCTTTTTTCAAGTTAGTTTAACTTTATATTCTATCCTTTAATCTTTTTTAAAATTTTTATTTTACCCATTTGACCTAAAAGGTTGAACCATTAATCCACCACTTGAATAGAAAAATTGTTTTGTTTTTGGGTGGTTTTTAAATTTTGTATTTCAATTTGATCATTAATAAATAATTCTTCTTACTTATTATACTTTTTAATATGATAAATATATAATATTAGAAATGTGCTATTCACTTTTTTGTTTTTTTATAATTTTATAATTTTATTCATTTTATTTTTTTTTATTATTTAACTATGACACCATGGGTTGACCCATTTAATTTGATGATTTAACTACTTTCCATCTAAATTGAATGATGGTTTCATTTTCACTAATTAGTACAATTTATTAATGAGAAACCAAAATACATCAAATAAAGGTTATGATCATAGAGAGTGAGAATTAACACCTTAAATATAGTACTTAGAAAAATCCCTTATGAAGCCCAATTGCATTGGATTGGAACTACTTTTCAATAGCCCCTTTATTTCAATTAATAGAGGCAATTGAAAAAGGGATGCCATGTTTTAGTAAATTTTCTAAAAAAATAAATGTTATAATGATACATAATTTATCAGATTTAGATTTGGTTCCTTTAATTATTATTTCTTGTCATATATTTATAATTAATTTTCTTGTTTGTAAATTTTGTTCAATTTGAATGGGAGAAAAATTTACATTTACAAATGGTGCACCTAAAGGTGAGGGTAGGTTTCTTTTTGATTGAGTGAATTTTAATGGGAGGATGATGCCACATCAATGACTTCTATGGTTCAACAATGACAATTACAATATTAAATGTCTTAATTATGGTGTTTTGTCAAAGTACATATTTGTCCTCAAGAAATTCAGTGATTAAGGAGTAATTTATGACCAATGAAAATTCCATAAAATTACAATATTGAATGTCTTAATTATGGTGTTTTGTTAAAGTACACATTTGTTCCCAAGAAATTCAGTGATTCAGGGGTAACTTATGTCCAATAAAAATTCTAGAAAATTACAATATTAAATGTTTTTGTCAAAGTGCACATTTGTTCCCAAGAAATTCAGTGATTGATGTGTAATTTCTGTCCAGTAAAAATTCCAAAAAGAAGACCATATTTGCACTTTTATAAATAGTATAGTATAGATACTTAGATAAATGAAAATGGTACCAAACACTTACCTTGAAACATGGAATGGTTGAGAAAAGAAAGGCTAAATTGCTGAAACCTCCCCTGAAGTTTCTGTTTGTTGCTAAAACCTCTGATGAAGTTTGGTAATTGCAATCACCTCCTCTGAACTTTCTAACATAAT